TCAAAAATACTAAGCCTACAGAACAAGCTAAGAATATTAAAAGTTGCAAGGAAAAAAGACCAAATAATGAATAAAGACAGATCTATTAGACTAACACCTGAGTTCGAAATGGACACCCTAAAAGTCAGAAGGACCTTGACAGATGTCCTAAAGATTCTAAGAGATAACAGACAACAGCCCTGACTACCATTATATCCAGCAAACTTTAAATCATAATAGAGGGAGAAAATATGGCATTCCATGATAAGATCAAATTTAAGCAATACCTATCTATGAATTGAGTCCTCCAGAAGTGGTATAAAGAAACACTTCAACTTAAAGAGGGTATCAGATAATCCAAAGAAAGAGAGAAAACAAAAAAACACATTACAACAGTCAAATAACAGTTATCAACAAGCATGGATAATTGATAACTCTTTTGACTCATTTCCTCAATAGAAAGACTCAGAATGGCAGGATACACCCTTCTGCAGGATTCAAGAAACACACCTCAACAACAAGTATAGACATTACCTCAGGGTAAATGGTTGGAAAAAGATGTTCTAAGCAAATGAAACTAAGAAGAGAGCTGCTGTAGCCATTTTAATATCTAACAAAATAGACTTTAAATAAAAGCTAATTGAAAGTGATAGAACAGGACACTACATACTTGTCAAAGGAAAAATTCACCACTAAGAAGACATTGCAATTCATATATATATATATATATATAAAATGATATATAATCATTTTTATTTAACTTTTTACATGTTACTCTTAGTCCCCTCTCCCTCCCATCCTCCCCACCCCCCCATTCCTCCCAATCCCCCATCCCACTCCATCTCCCCTCTGCTCCCTAGGGAAGATAGGCCTTCCATGAGGGATATTCCAGGCTGAAAGAGCATCCCTCCATGTGGCATGGGCTCCCAGAGTTCATTTGTATGCCAGGAATAAATACTGCTCTACTCTCCAAGGTCCCATAAATTGCCTAGGCCTCTTGTCTGACAACCAAGTTTTCTTCTTAACATCTATGTACCAAAAAAAGGGCACCAAGTTTGAAAAAACGACATACTACTATAGTTTAAATCACATACTTACCTCACATGCTGAAAGAAGGTGACTTCAGTACTGTACTGTTCCCAATAGACAGGCAATCAAAACAAAAACTAAACAGAGAAATGCTGAAGCTAACAAATACTATGAACCAAATTGACATAATAGATATTCACAGAACATTTCACCCAAAAGCAATAAAATATACCTTCTTCTCTGCATCCTTTGGAGCTTTTTTTTCTAAACTTGACCACATACTCAGCTATATAAGAAGATTGAAATAAATCCCTGCATCCTATCAGATCACCAGAGATTAAAGCTGGATATCAACAACAGAAGCAACAGACTTACATTACAAACTCTTGGAAACTGAGAAACTCTCTACTGAACAAAAATGGGTCAAGACAGAAATAAAGCAAAAGTTAAACTTTCCAGATTTGGATGAAAATCTAAATACAAAACAACACTTATGGGACACAATGAAGGTGGTCCTAAGAGTCAAGTTCATAGCACTAAATCAAAAAATTGGAGAGAGCTCATATTCATAACTTCAAAGCACACTTGAAATCTCTAGAAAACAGAAGAAATAATGACCCAAAGAAGTAGATGACAAAAATAATGAAACTCAAGACTGAAATCAATAAAATAGAAACAAACAAAAACCTTAAAGAATCAATGGGAAAAGGAGTTTGTTCAGTGAGAAAATCAATAAGGTTGATAAACCTTTAGCCAAATTCTCTAAAACACTATGAGCGATGACACAAATTAACAAAATTATAAACAAAAAAGGGGGATTTAACAGCAGACACTGAGGAAAACAAGAGGTTCAAAAGGACATACTTTAAAAATCTGTACTCCACTAAACTGGAAAAATCTAAATGAAACCAAAAAATCCCAGCAACAGGTGGTTTTAGAAAAGAATTCTACTAGACTTTTATACAAGATTTAATTCCTTCTAGAGCCATCCATTTGCCTGAAAATTTCAAGATTCCATTGTTTTTTTTTTCTGCTGAGTAGTACTCCATTGTGTGAATGTACCACATTTTCTCTATCCATCATTTGAGCAGCATCTAGGTTGCTTCCAGGTTCTGGCTATTACAAATAATGCTGCTATGAATATAGTGGAACAGATGTCCTTGTTGTATGAATATGCATCTTTTGGTTATATGCCTAAGAGTGGGATTGCTGGGTCTTGTAGACTGATTCCCATTTTTCTGAGGAATCTTCATACTGATTTCCAAAGTGGTTGTATGAGTTGGCACTCCCACCAGCAGTGGAGGAGTGTTCCCCTTTTCCCACATTCCCTCCAGCATAAACTGTCATTGGTGTTTTTTATTTTAGCCATTCTGACAGGAGTAAGATGGTACCTCAGAGTTGTCTTGATGTGCATTTCCCTGATGGCTAGGGATATTGAGCACTTTCTTAAGTGCCTCTCCCATTTTAGACTCCTCTATTGAAAATTCTCTGTTTAGTTTTGTAGCCCACTTTTTAATTGGATCCTTTGGTGTTTTGGAGACTTGCTTCTTAATTTCTTTATACATTTTAGAGGTCAGCCCCCTGTCAGATGTAGGATTAGTGAATATCTTTTCCCATTCTGTGGGCTGAGAAACCATTCTGAGTGAGGTAACCCAGTCACAAAAGGACAAACATGGTATGTACTCACTCATGTATGGATTTTAGACATAGATCAGGGGAGTGTCAGCCTACGATCCCACTGCCAGAGAATCTGAGAAACAGAACCTTCAACCAATGACTGATGCAGACAGACACCCACAGCTATACACTGAGCTGAACTCAAGGAACTCAGTGAGAGAGGGAGGACTGATGAGCATAGGGGTCAACACTGGGCTTGTTTAACCCACAGAAACAGCTGACCTGGACAAGGAGAGCTGTTGAACCCCAGAATGATAGCTGGGTATCCAGCATGGGACTGATCAAGACCCCCTGAATATGGGTGTCGGTGAGGAGGCCTAGGCAATCTATGCGGCCTTGGGTAGTAGATCAGTATTTATCCCTGGCATACAAATAGACTTTGGGTGACCATCCGACAATGAGAGGTGCTCTCTCAGCCTGGAATCTTGGTGGAGAGCCTAGGCCCTGCCCTGGATGAAATGACAGTCTATGGACAACCCCTATGGAGGGCCTCACCCTCCCTGGGGAAAGGAGTGGGGATTGGAAGGGAGGGGTTGGGGCTGGGAGTATGGGGGGCTTGTGGGAGAGCGTGGAAGGAGGGGAGGGAGAGGGAGCTGGAATTGACATGTGAAGCAACCTTGTTTCTAATTTAAATTTAAAAATTAAAAAAGAGGAGTTAATTCCAATACTATACAAATTATTTCCCAAAATAGAAACAGAAGGAACATTGTCTAATCCATTTTGAGAGGCCATTATTACTTTCATATCTAAATGACATAAAAACCTAACAAAGAAATAGAATCACAGACCAATTTCCCTAATAATTATAGATGCAAAAGTTCTCAATAAAATACCTGCAAACCAGATCCAAGCACACATACCTTGGACATGAATATGTTAAGGTATAAGGATTCAAAAAATACTTTTAGGTATAAAAATGTGTTTAGAATATATAAGCACAAGTTTATGTAAGGTGCAAGGTCACAAAAAGTTAAGTTATGATAGAAATTATTTAAGATACATGAAAAAATGTTTCAAATCTCTTCCCCTCTCTATGCCATTGTTATATTGAGACTCTAAAAGGTCAGAGTTTTGACACTAATCAATAAAGATCTGAGAAATTATTAACCTTGCTCTGGCAAACACTGAATATTATTATCATAGTAATAAGAAGCTGTTTTCTAAGTATAGAATTTTAAAAAAATGTTTCCCCTTGTGCTAAAAACTACTGCCTAATCTACATACACCAATCTTCTGGGTAAAGCAAAATATATTAATGCTTTCAACAAAAATCATTTGTAGGTTTCCACACTTCTAGTGTGACTAAAAAACAGAGTCTACTGCCTTTTCTACAACAAGGATTTCAATATAGACTACAGACAATAATAATGCTAACATATCCAACTCACCTCTTTACAAAGTTTTTTACAAGCTTCAGGAAATCAGCTTGGATCATCCACCTGTTAGAGGTCAAAACTGACTCCAGAGAAGTGCCACCAATCAACAATCTATTTACCTACCTGCCCATTCCACAGTGGGTGGGACTTCTTCCCCTTTCCCTGGTTTGGGACACCCCTCTGCCATCTGCCAAGACTGTGGACCTGGGGATTTCAAATGTACACACACCTAGGACAAAAATTTCTCCCTTAAAATTCCTGGGTGTCCAGCCTCTGGCAGCAGAAGGCTCTAAGGGAGCCAGCACACCAGGGGGGTGGGAAAATGACACACACTCTTTTGATGATTTCTTTAGGACCTTTGCTTTTTTCTTTTTGATTCTGATTTTGTATTTTCTATTCTCTATTCTTATCTCTATCCTTTCCAGTCCTGTGCTAATGGAGGCTTCCCCACCCTCTGGCAGAAAATGAAGTTAAGGAATTTTAAGAGAGTGCCACTCCCTGTGAGATTATGGGGGCCAATTACATTCAAACTACCTCATGATTCATCACAGATCCTTCCCTGTACAGGAAAAGTGCCACCAAGTAGGAGGAACAAGAGAATCTGAAAGTTTGCCTCTGACTGCTCTCCTCTTGAACAGGAAAGGAAGGTGAGATGGCTGAGTGACACAATTTTATCCCTTTGTGATTTCATCTTCATTCAAATGCATGTAAGAGACCCACGTGTAAGTCTGTGGGACAGGAAAAACTCTACATTGAAATTTGTACCTACTTATATTTGTAAGAAAAAGACAAAAAAACTGAGTAAAGAGTAGCTCTGGCTTTCTGTTGGTTTCCAACCCCCCCCCAACTACATTAATAACAGAAATAAACTGTTCTGTTTCACCAACCGGGGAAATCGAAAGCTATGAGCACTGCTGGGTGGAGTCCTATTTCATCACAACTCTCCCCAAGGAGACAGCACAGCGTAAGACATCTAGCACTGGTCAGATTAAGACTTTACTTTAACCAGTTCCCTTGGCTTTCCTGTTGTTCTGTACATACTGCATTTTCTCAGCATTTAATGAGATTTTAACACCCTGGTGTGTACCTTTTTCTGCCTACAAAAAATAGACAAGCCCTATTTCCTGCCTTGCTGAGGATCTTCAATCTAAACATTGCTGAGAAGAATTCCAGGGAGGTAAGTTCTGCCCCTGTTACATAAGGAGTAGCTAGCTCTTAGAAACCCACAAGAACACAGGGAATCACTAGCGGTTCTTCCAGTGGAGGGCTGGGGGAGCAGGAATGGTTCCAGCTGCACTAAGGGCAGTGAAACCCTGCAGCTGGTTTCTAGTCCTTCATTCAATAAGAGAGCAGACATCTTTGTTCCTCCACCTCTGGGTTTGAGGCAATACATAATGTATTTTGAGTGTTGAAGGTTGTAAAATAAACTTTCTAAGAGTAAGTATAAATAAATAGAAAATGAACAGGCTTTAGTTATCTTGGCTGGAGAATTAGCTGAAACCTGGTGGCTCCGGTGTGTGACTGAGTAAAGGACAAGGCAGAGACAAGAAAAAGTACCACGAAATAATACTGAGTGCAAAACACATCTGTGCATGGAGCTGCATTATTTAGTAATATCCTAATACTACACAGCATGACAGCCAGATGACATGTGTAGTAAAATTCTTCTGAGATTCACAAACACGGTGGCTCAAATGCATCCTGTTTTAATAAGCATATTGAACATTTTCTTTCTCTCCCTTTTACACAAGGCAGTAAAATAGTAATTAGTCACTAGGAGAAACTTTCTGTCATCATGAAAGTTATTCTTTTTGTTCGGTTATATTTTATTTGTTTTTGGTTTGGGGCATAAGATGTGGGGGGGATAAAGGAGAGTAAAAAAGAAATATATTTTTATTGTCAAATTTTAGAATATTTAAAAAACTTTTTGTGTTCTCTCATATAGTATTCCATGTGTACTTGACCTTCATAATTTAAATATCAATTTGAGAGTTGTACCCATATTAGACACAATATTGCTAAGTTTATCAGTTACGTTGCTCAAACTTTCTAGATTCTTACAGATGTTTCCACCTTACTCATTCAGTAATTGATACACTGCTGTATTGACCACAAAACTTTGGGTTCTCCTTTTGATTTTTTTCAAATTCACAGATATGTGCATTCTCAAAGGCATTGAAAATATATGATAAAAGTATGTATGTGATGTGTATACTTGTTTGAAAATATATTCCACAATTTTAGAGAGCTGTGGAAAAACAAACTAATAACAAATAGCATGCACAATTATTAGTTGATAAATCCATAGTTAAAACTATTACCTCCTTCTAGGATGGGAAGATTTATCATATATTGGCATTTGATAAGAGGTTTTACCTTCATTACTATTAAAGGTCCACTAATGTAGATAATTTTGGGATTTTTCCACTGTTAAGGAATGTTTTATTAGAGGTAAATGTCTTAAATAACATTTCAGTGAAGTTGTCGTTAGACTGGTTGGGTCCATCGTTATGGTCTGGTAATCAGCAAGTTTTTGTTCTGCTTCTGCTACTATCATTTCACTGTAGGATGTCTCTGTTTTACACCAACAATCTGTATGTCCTCTTTCATCTGCTCCTCAACCATGTTATGTACTTCCTCTTTCACATTTTGTTTTATTAAGTCTTTATTTTTAAGCCAAGGGGTTCCCAATCAAGTTTGCAGTTTGTAGCGGCCATGAGACCTGCTCCATCTCCTACCCAGGGTTCCAATGGTGAAATGTTTCTTAGGAACTAAGGGACAAAAGATTTCTATAGTAACTTAACACACAATCTGAGGGTCATGTTCTGTATGCCATGTGCTCTTTAGTGTTCTGTTTCTACTCTATCAATCCTGTCCTACTTCTAACTTCCCTGTGCTTCCTCCTCTAGCTTTTTCTTCTGTCTAAAAACTCTTCTCCTTCAGGAGCCTTGAAGTGACAAAGAGATTTCTTTCATTGGTCAAAAGCACATTCGTAGAGGAAGTGATAAGGAGCTGAGCTGTTTACCATTGCAACACAAGAAGGCCATAGGAGCAAAACCATCACAAGATAGGGAGAACACAGTGCCCAATGACAACTTTAAGACACAGATCTATTGTTAGAACTTGCTCTGAGTTGAAAGTGAGCTAGTTGTGTGTAGTAGTCTGAACAAGGCAGGCTGTTAAGAATCCACAGTCCTTGTGAGACAGATAGATTCAGTTATGAAGCATGTCGCAGGATATGTCTTATATATCAAAATTATATAGCTAAATGAAAAGTCATCTTTCATCTTTCAGACCACCCACAGACTATGTGCCCAGTAAACAGTAACACACTGTAATGCTGTGGGAAGGATCCCTAGCTGTAATGTGAGGGAAAGAGCTCTTCACACAAGAAGTCTGCACTGAGGACAGCTTAACACCTTCAGAGGGCAGAATACCTTATCACCTTGTTAAATAAGGTGTCTTTATCAATGTGCATCTCTGGTGACAATATATTCCTCATAGCCTTGCTAAATGAGGTCTATGTCTCCATGAGATATTAATCCCTCATGGGAAGACACTGGAAGTATGCACTGAACTCTCATTGTATAACTCTGCGGTCTGTAGCAGCAGTTTTCATTAAGGAAGAACTGTATTTTTTCTTTCCCATTTTTTAGTTCTTTGAGAGATTCACACAGTATATTTAGCTCATATTCAATTCCTTCCACAATTCCTTTCAGATACATACTCCCTTCCCTACCTACCCAACTTTGTATCTCACTCTATTTGAAAAAAATATCAAGTACAGTTTGTGATCAATAAACCATGGCCCATGCCTTTAGCAAGAATTATTCTCCCCATCCCAGCAACTATTAAGTGCCAAAATCTCCTTAGTTGCTTATGGGACTTTGTGTTCACCCCCTGTCACTTCTTGCTGTGACTTTGTCTGGCTTAAACTTATGATGCTGCTACAACTGCTCTGAGTTCATGTGTTCACACATGCCCAGTTGTGTTTGGCAAATACCACGTCCCTGTAGTCATTTACCACCTCTGGTTCTTAATTTTTTCCCTGTCTTCTTCAAGGATTGCTACAAAGAAGGATATGATTAGATATTACTTTCTCTACTGGTAGCATGCATAGCACCTTCCAGTGCCATATACCTAGCCAGTGGGAATGTAGTTTCAGGGTCAGTATCAGTCAATGTTTCTCCATGCTCTATGACTCATGTATGTGGTGTCTCTATCAAGTACTGGAAGAAAACCAAGAACACTGGCAGTAGATTTTAGTTGAACACAGAGGTTTAAGGTTAGAACACCCACCCATGAAGACATGTAAGAAAAACAACTGAGTCAATGGGCCTTTGTTTTTCATTGTAGAGAAGTATGTAAAAGATGGAAACCCTCCGATATCACTAACAAGGAGCAACATCAAAAGCTAAAAACAATGGGAGGATGCCTTGCTTTTGCAGACTTTCTCTCCCCAGAGAGACCGTGGTGCAAGACTTGGAGGGTTGTATGACTTGAAGGAAAGTGAAACGATTCTGATTAGTGTTGTTCTTCCCGTTCTTTAAACTACTTCATGTTCCTGGCAGTCCAGGGATTGCAACATCTCTGTCCCGACTCTGAGAGATTTATTCATTTATCCTCTTACTCTAATGAAACTAGCCCTACTTCTTGCCTGGCTTTGGGAAGAAATTTCCAAGAAGATGAGTCCTACCTCTGCTATGCAGAGTTGAGAGTCCTGTGAAACCCACAAGGACACATGGGAAATCAGTACTGGTTTCTTCAGAGGAGACTAGAGGGAGCAGGGCTGAGGGCAGCTTCTCTCAAGGCAGTTAACCCACAGCTGCTAGGTTCTGATGCTTCACTAGGGAAGATGACAAACATCTCTACTCCACCCCTAATATGTACTGAGGCAACAAAAATGCAGTTTGATTTGGGCAGATAATAAAATAACTCTTAAGTGTAAGTATGAGCAAATGATAAACATGAAAGATTTCCATCATCCTAGCTGGAGAGTGAGAAAGGAATTCTTAGATGTTGTGATTGATTGTAAAAGATAGGATAGAGATGTGAAAGAATTCATGTGATATAGTATTTAGTGAAAAATATGTCTGGACCTGTAGGTGTACTTGCTAGTACTCTGATATTACATGGCATGTGAAACAATTGAGATGCACAGTATAAAGATATTCAGGTTCACACAATTATTCATGCACAAGTTTGTTTTTAATTAGCCACATCCACAACATGTTTAACATTTTATATCAGTGATATTTTATTCACAGTGAGTTGATTTCTGGCATCTTGAAAGTTATTTGTTTTCTTTTGTTTTAGTTTTTATTTTCTGGTAAAAAAAATTTAGGGGGGCTGAAGGGGAGAGTTAATCACAAATATATCTCTATTGCCAATGTAGCACAATAAATAAAAGACCCAAAGACAGATATTGTGGTCAAGTTTCAAGCTGAAAATAAAAAATTCAGAGCATCCGGCCACTACCACAGCTCAGACCAAAGGGGTGATTTTCAAACTTCTCCCGACTTCACTGCTCCACAGATTCACTCAGACTGCCATCTTTCCTCAACATGGCTAGATACTAACTCTCAGACTGAATGCCTCTGCCTTTAACGCCTCTCAAATCCTGGGATTAAAGATATGAGTTCTGGTTCACTCTCCAGTAGCCCTGGGTGGAATTAGACTCAGAGATCTATCTACCTCTTAATCCTGAGTCCTGGGGTTGTGTGTATGGTTTCTATGGCTAACTTGTATGGTTCTTTGACATTTTGATCTCCAGTGGCTTTAATAAATCATAAGCAATATATCACCACATGCCTCCTTTTAGAATATTTTAAAGGCTTCTCACTTACCCTTTAGTGTTCTTAATGTGTACTTGAACAGAGTATTTTAGAAGTTGATTTCAGATGTGTGTGTGTATATATATATATATACATACATATATATATATGGTTTTCTCTTTTGGTGTATCATTTTCGTTTCTCAAATATTCTAATTGTTTTGCAGATATTTCCCCATGTTTGTTTAGTAATTGAGAAACACACTGCTGTATCTATTAAAGTTTTCTGGGTTTTTTCAAATTCACAGATGAGTATCCTCTCTCACATATACATGAAGAGGGTATGTTTGCATCTGTTCACATTTGGAACAAAACACATTCTGTGTTGCTACTTATGGATCTATGAAGAGACATAAAATACTAAGAAATACCATACACAATTATTGGTATATAACTCTACCATTTAAACTATTAACTATTTCTAAGGAGGTATTCTGGTTTGTTTGTTTGTTTGTTTTTTGTCAACTAGACACAAGATACAATTGTCTAAGATGAAATAGTTAAGTTGAGAAATGCTTCTTTCAAAATCGCCTGTAGGAAAGTGTGTAGGGCATGGTCTTGTTTATTGATTGATGTGAGAGGCTAAGCCATTGGTGTCAGTGCCATTCGTGTGCAGATGGTCCTGAGTACCGAACAATGCATGAAGATTAAGTCAGTAATCAGTGTTCCTCCATGGCTTCTGCTTCAGTTCCTGCCTCTAGGTTCTTCCCTTGAATTCCTGCCTAGACTTCTTCAAATAAAGGACTGTGATGGGAAGTATAAAATGATATTAACCCTTTTCTTCCAAAGTTGCTTTCTGTCATGGTGTTTTATCACATCACCAAAATGTGTAATTAAGAAAGAAATTGATACAGGGCATGTTGGATGTTGCTATGACACACATGACTGTGTTTTATGGAAATTTCAGACATTTAATAATTCCTTAAAGATTCTCTTAAGGCCACTCAATATCTTGAATTACAAATCTATGACCTTGATCATCTGGGATAGAAGATCTCACTGTAATTAAGCAGAGTCCAGCATCTTTGAGGAAAGAACTTCTGGGAAATGTCTTCTCTCTGTCAGCACACAGAATTTGAAGTTGTGGTCCAGAGAGGGACAAGGCTATCCCTTATGCTGATAACCAAACTTAATATGTAATATGTGATATGTAATATGTAATATGGAGCTGGGATTGGAGGCTTGAAGTGGTTATAGGGAATAGCTTTGACTTGTCACTATGAAGGGTCATGTGAGAGGCCATTGGTAAAGATACAATCCAGTAGCAATGGGGACCCCAGAAAATTTTAGATGTCAATACTATGGAATGACCACCAGGTATAACAGCACATGTGGAGAGGGAGTAACCTAAGCATAGGAGAATCACTTTGAATGAGCTAAGGGAATCCTGAATTATGACCTGGTTTTGCCCTCTTGGAATAAGAAGGTATGTAACTTATTTTTTATTTTAAAAGAGCTCACAGTTTAGATACTTTGAATTTTTAAAGACTAGAATTTTAGAGAGACATTGAGTATTTTAGAGAGAGTTTGGATATTTTAGAAAGACATTGGATATTTTAGAGAGATTTTGAAATTTGGAAGAGCCTTTAGGTATTTCAAAGAGACTGAAAAGCTAAAGTTAAACTTTTTTAGCAGTGAGGCTGAACACACAATGATATCCAGAATCTAGTGGGCTTGGATTGGCATTGATGCATCTATATTCTGTTGTGAAATATTGGAAATTCTATTGAGGTTGGATGATTTGTCCAAATACAAAAGCAGTAACACTTCAATAACAAAACAACTATTCTCATGTAAATGGAACCTATAAAAGTATACATAACCTCTATCATCACATTTTAGTTGCATTTGAAATAGTTGTTACTTCACATGTACCAACCCAAATAAAATCTTTCTCTTTTAATTTTCTCTGGGATCTCAATATCAATATTGTATAAATATTGGAATTCTGCTCTGAAGAAGGGAGTTTTACTGCTGAGAATCAGTTTTAATTCCTCATTGAATATGTAGATCATTTTTAATGTCTTATGATTTACAGAATATGTCTTTTTCTTAATACTCTTTATCTTCCATGTCATGCGTCATTGTGTGGAAATTCCATTCATCCTTGGGTTTCTTTGCAAATGGAGAATGGTCAATTAAAAAAAACAAAGCAAAACAAACAAAAAACAAAAAGGAAGAAGAAGCAATTAATAGGCGTATAAAGTAAAGTTCAATTACACTAAGGTCCATACAGGCATGATTCCCAAACTGAAATAGCATAAATTGATTTAGGATATTGAACTCATTCTATTTTCTGAAAATCATCAAGGAAGTATATAAAATATGAATGAGCTACAAGTCAGGACACTCAGTTCATTGGGGTATTTTGGGAAGTTCCAGAAAGCAAATTTTTTGAAATTTCTAATATTTGTTATTAGTTCTTTACACATTACTCTGATAAGGGTTAAAAGATGTCTGAACAAAGTAGTAAGCTTAACTCTACTCTTATTTAGCAACATAAATTATGAGGTTCACAAATAGAGACTCTGAGTAGTTTAGTCACAGGTTTTCAGTCTTAGTAATGGTGCCAGGTATAGGTTTCAACTAATTCAGGCCTTAAGTCAAATTACAAAATGATTGGTTAACCCCAGAACATTCATGCTGCTATTACACCAAAAAACATGCCTTGCTAGACTAGTTGTTACTGTATATCCAAGAGATCACAGCTGAGGAAGATTAATGATTAGTTTGCTACTCCAGTATTATGCATAGTAACTTCCAGAATTAGAAAATCTAGCCAGGAGGGATGAGGCTTCCAAGTGAGTGTAATGTTCTCTGACTCAATAACGTGGTGCCCTCTGCAATGGAGTCTTACTAAAAAATTCTGTCATGTAGCCAAGAGCTTTTTCAATAGGTATATGTTGAGGGGGGTTGTCTATGAGAACTGACTAACTAATGACTTCGATAGTGGAAATCCATTTCAATAGTGGACTTTTATTTAACCTATGGTGTTTCATAAAAGCATTGTTACCCCATTATTAAATAATTTCATGTACATTCTTGATAGATGATATATAGATACATAGTAGATGATAGGTATGTTGGTAGAGAGAGGTAGACAGACAGACAGACATGATAAAGTATATGTATAATATTCAGCAGTAGGTTTCTATTTTAGTTTTTTGAAATGAAATTAGTGTTAGTTACTCTTCTTTCTATTCCTTCCACTACCCTACCCTCCTATTCCAAACCCCATTTAACTCTTAGGTTTTCAAAACTTACGAAAAGCAGATAGAGAAAAAATGTGAGAATGACTTTCAGACAGTGAAGAAATCCTCCACATCATAAAACTTGACAATAGGGGTGTATTTTGAAGCATATGATCTTAGGATTGAAGATAAGTGTAAATGGAAAAGTGCAAATTATTCGAGGACTTCTGAAATATTATAAGAGGAAGGAGTATTTTTAATAAATGAAGAAACTATTAACTATTTTGGGAGGATTTGAGCATGACTTATAGGTAGAACATTTTGCCTATGAATAAGAATCACTAAGTCAAGCCTAAAAGATAAAATCAAGAAACTTTTGACATAACTCCATCCAATAAATTGTAGGGTTCCACTATAAAAATTATGTAGATGTTTGAGGAATTAACAGTAATATCAGCACAAAGATCCCAAAGAGCCCAATCCAAGCCCAGGGAAGACAGAATGGTAGTAAGTGTTGTTTGAGGAAAAGCCTAGCAGACAAGGCTCAGAGACTCAAAATAGGCCCTGTTACTTTAGTCATTGTTCGTTCAGGCGCATTGTAAGGGGATGCAGTCCATTTGTGTATAGAGCACTTTAGAATGGGAAAAGTCAGAAACCCAAAGGAAGATATATAGGAATGGGCTCCTGCACCACATAAAGAATGGATAATGGACCCAGAATTTTAGCACTCACAGTCCACAGCAATTACTTGTTCCAATACTTTTCTTCTACCACAACTGCCACTGGCCTAAGTCACCTAACATGGTTAATGGGGAAGGATTTCTTAAACTCGTTTATTAATACAGAACTTCTACATGCATTTCACACAGTGGCACAGTTTATCTCTCTAGGCAGTTATGGACATTATCATGTGGGGTCATTCACTCACACAGGAATATCCTGTTTGGAGAATTGTCTGTGTATGTGTGTAATGCTGTATCCATTTTCATCTTTTAGGCTCATCCATAATTTGAGAAATAATGAATAAATACAAGAAAATTGTTCTTATAAAAGGATTCGAAGTCATGGATGACTACCATTTTAGGACAATCAAGTCCTTACTAAGAAAAGAATTAAATCTATCTAAAAAGATGCAAGATGATTATGACAGAATTCAGATTTCTGACCTGATGGAGGATACATTCCCAAAAGACGCTGGACTGGACAAACTGATAGAAGTGTGTCAAAGCATTAAAGAACTTCAAGATCTTGTGAAAAATCTTAAAACAGAGAAGGCAAAAGGTAACAAGGGAGCACACTGGACACCTATTTCTTCTCCACTCTCCCCAAACTTTCTAGATCCATACAATAATCAGAGTTGATATATTTCTTTGCCATTGTGTGCCTTAGAAACTATAGAGATTGAAGAATTTCAGATGTTAAAAAGTTTATTTCAAGAAATCCCTTCTTACAAAGGAACTTGATGTATTTCAGGGTAGATATCTTTTGCATTGGAGGTAAATAAAATAAATAGCAGTTGTTGAGATAGATTAGAACATTCAACATGGTAGGAAAAACTAGAAAATGATAACATAAAAGTTGAAAAAATTTAAAGAATGTAAACAGAGTAAATGTTATACTCAATTAACAATCTTACCCATTCCTTAATATATTTTCTGGCAAGAGTAATCTAATATTTAAGTAGAAGTCTGTGTCCTAGAGATGTGATGAAGAATAAATTTCTCTTTATAAAGTCAATGGATTTAAAAATATTAGATATACTGGTATAACACTCTGACCCCAAAATTTAGCACAAGGAAGCTCTGACACTCCAGTATTTCATTTCACAAGTTTGGACCAGATTTCCTATCATTGGTTTCTAAGATTTTAGTGTGTTATACACAAAACATGATCAGTTAGTGTGGTAAAAATTTGGTATTTTAAGAGGAATGGCAACAAGTAACGCTTGGCTGATATACACAGGGTTCAAGACAAGAAGGGTTTTCTTATTTTATAGGGGAACAAGTAAGGGAAATATAAAGTAATGGGAGATTGTGACTAAGGCTTTACCCTTGGTGGTGTGTCCCTACACTAAACTAATGGAATAAACATTATTGAATGGATGCAATGGAGAGGAAATGACAGGAAAACTAAACAGTTCCAAGATCCTCCATTTTGGTTTATGTGGGCACTTTGGTTCATGCATTTGTTGTAATGAAAATTATTCCTATCACAGTAAAACCAAAAAACACACAGGAAAAAAAGAGACAAGAAGTAAGCTCTGCTACACCTACATCAACTACAAGCAACACTGTAGCATCTGACGGAGGACAGACATCCACAGCTCAGGTGAGCTTGAGGAACCTCAGTGGGCTGGCAGTCTGCAGAGGCAGCACTTCTGTCCATCAAGTACTCACTGCTTCTTTAGTTTATCTTCAAGTTTTATCAAAACTCATGACAAGTGATCATGTGGCATTGATATGTGTTCACTCCTGTTAGAAATGTTGTGTACTTGAAGATGAGGTAGAACAATGGTTGTTCCATGTTTACACAAGACCTAGTTTTCAAATTCGAATTCAATAATGTCCTACCATAGAGATAATCTTAGAAAATTGTGTGTATAACTTTTTCCACTCTCTTTATTTAATTAAAACTCTATGTACATATTTTATGACTATTTGTGATCATACTTTAGGCCTGACCAGAAGGTGGGTGTCATTCCCTCAAGTTCCCAAAATATTCAGGCATAAATCTACTGACTAATAACGAAGACACACTCTGCTTGCTTGATACTGAGACTCATTAACAGACAATGGATATACTTTCAGAAAAGAAGAAGTGTGGATAAAGGAAAGACTGGAATGAAGAAGACCAAGAGGTCTGAGGGGCCAGATCACCTTCTCTGCCCTGGAGAAGGCACAGCCAGATGCCAGTCCCCGGGTCTCCAGGTCTCGTCTTCGGCTCCATCCAGCACTTCCATGGCTAAGGTAAAAGTTTTCTGCCTTCCTTTTATTTCCTCAATCCAAATATTAGAATCAGATCTTCAAGTTCTGACCATGTCACTCACTCATCACTGACATTTAATTAATCAGACACACACAGAGGTTGGATATGATAGATACAGATCATCATACAAGGACAGAAACAAACATAGAAATATAGGTGATACCATAACCTTTTGTTGGCCTGGGGACACGTAATGAACTTGGCATTTCTTCTGACAATGAGAACTTTCCTGGCTTGTGTTGAGTTTTGATCCCAGGCAGGAAGAGAGAGGTGAAGAGTCCAGAATTTACACGTGTCAGTAGCAATAGGCTCTATTTCTCTTCTCTTGTACTACCCCATATCTCTTCCCTTGATATGACTAACATGTTAATAACTTTTCTTTGACACAAATGAGGGAAGGGTACTTGTTTCTTCAGAATTTATGGTACATTTTATATTCATTCCAGTTTGAAAGCCTGTAAATGTCCAAACACATCCATGCTCTGATTTTTAATGGGGGTATCTTGCTCTATCTTTAACATATCCTTCCAGAAGCCCTATCCACACTAGATTAACAATGGACAGTGTTTACATGAATAAAATGTTGTTGTTTTATTACCAATTATGAAACATAACCAATGGCTTTCCCCAGTTTACTTTGTATTGTAAAATTTTGGTTGCCCTATATTTTTTATAGATACGTACAGACCTGAGATTTCCAGAAATGTAGAACTGATAACCAGTATAGCTAAAAAGGATAGATGGAATCTGTGCAGTCCAGTTAAGGCTCTGATTAGTGTCTTGTGAGACTTAGAGGTCACAAAAAAGTGATAATATATGTGAAATGGGAGTAACTGACCACTTTTTGATTGGATTTAAGACCCACTCCCTGAGATGGAACCAATAACAGACACTGCTAAAACAGCCAAGAACATGAGACTAGAAAAAGGAAACATCAGTTTTCTCCAATGGAGATTATTAACCATAGTCTAGAGCAGGCTCCATGGCCAAGAACAGTTATTTTGTTTTATTTGGGAATTGTTCTCTATTTTTATTGGTTTTATTTTCTATCTTTTCATTTTATTTTATTTTTTGAGAGTGAACACAAAAGAATGGGGAGGGTGAAGAACCTAGGAGGCCCTAGGGGAGGGGAATCATGTTCCGTATATACTGTATAAAAAGGTTTTAAATAAAAATGATAGTAAAATACCAATTCTGGGAGAAAACGCACATAGTGAGGAAAATTTAAAAAATTTTGGAAATTCAGGAAAAGTGTCCGTTCACCAGAAACTGGGCATAAAAGAAGTGAGCTGCAATTTACTATTTCGTGTTTATTCTTTCTTCACTTTGGACTTTCAAATGTTTCTCATAACATATGAAAAGTAGGATGGTAGATGCCTCTTAGTTTTTTCAGTACTTATTTTTTCCCACCTAAGGAAACAAATGATTTGTCACAGAAGGAAAACCACAAAATCATCATTATTCTCTGGACTCTCTCTGTCTCTCCTTCTTTACCCTCCTCCTTTTTTTCTCACTTGAGGAAATAGATCAATACAGTTAAGCAAAACCAGAAGCAATTTTTACTTACCCAGACCTTACCATTAAGAAATTTAAAAGTTTAAAATATTTTGAATTAGTGTCTTTAGATATTTTTGTAATAATGTGGAAAAATTTATACTCCAGTGTCTTACAGTAGTTATTAGTTTATTACTTTTTTCCCAATTTAACATATCAGGACTATATTTCCAAGTTCCTAAGTTAAAAATGCATACAATATTCAATGGATATATCAGTATTTGTGCTTCCTTTTTAAATAGTTCATTATAGATTATTTTCTACCTACTGCCACAAACTCAGCTCCACTTTTAGTTTTTATACTTAAAATGTGTGCATTAAGGGTCATTTTGTGGCCTTCATAATAGCCTACTAATTTGTTTTGTGTGTATCCTATAACTTTCTTGTTCATCTAAATCTAATCACTGCTATTTATTTACTTAACTTATATACCCATCACTACCACTAGCTATATTGCCTTTTGGTTTTTATATTATACTAATTGCTTACACTGATGAGAAATCAGATCCACTCTAATCACTAATAAATGATGACTGTGTGTGATATAATGCTTTGATTCTTCTCATTCCATTGGGTCTATGGTGACAGCAATACTATTTCCTTATATGCAAATCTATGAAGTTCATAGCTTTTCATTGTTTTGCATATTCTTTCTTACAGCTAGGCAATCTTATCTTCATTGAAATACTCAGTGAGTATCACTCAGTGAGCTCAGAATACTGTGCAGAAAGGAGAGTAGAAGTCTATCAATATCTTTCTGGTTTTACAAGATCCTGCTATTGTTGAAAAATCTCTAAACATGTTTAAGGACATGACCCTACCAGTGACTATTTAAAACAGGTGGTTGTGGGCTAGCTCACATTGTTTTTGGTTATTTAATTATAGCAGATTGGTGTCTCCTGAGGAGATTTACTGTGATTTGTACCCTTATAATAACCCCAGATAGTCCAGTAGTGTGCTTTATATTTACCATTCTCTATTTCAACAATACTTAATTTCCCCAGTTTATATTCTTCTGCTGTAAGAGTAAAGGATAGGTCCGAATTAATGTAATTTCACTTAAGTACTTCCTAAAATTGTTCTCAACAGCTAATGCTGAGTTCATGCTGAACATCTCCCTTCATGTTAGGAAGAATACTCTGCTTTTTCAGTGAGAGTCTTCAAACTTTTGTGGCTCAACCCCATTGCTTTAATTTGTTAGACTTTTGGTCAATGAAAGAATTCCTCTTTAAGGGAGGAGTGATGAGCAAAGGGGTCAAGACCAATCTGGGGAAACCCACAGAAACAGCTGTCCTGAACAAGGGGGAGTTCATGGACCCCAGACAGCTTGGAAATCAGCATAGGACCGAAGCAGGTCCTCTGAATGTAGGTGTCAGTTAGGAGGGTGGAGTCTATGGGACCTCTGGTAGTGGATCATTAAATATCCCTAGTATACAAATGGTCTTTGGGAGCCCATTCACCATAGATGGATACTCCCTCAGCCTAGACACACAGGGAAGGGCCTAGGCCTTGTCCCAAATGATGTGACAGACTTTGATGATCCCCCATGAAAGGCCTTATCCTCCCTGGGTAGCAGAAGGGGGATGGGATGAGGGGTAAGTGGGGGGGGGGCATGGGAGAATAGGAGGGAGAGGGAACTGGGATTGATATGTAGAATAAGATTGTTTCTAATTTAAATAAAAAGAAACTTAAAAATAAAGAAATTCTCTTTAGCATATCTAAGTTCTACAAATATATTAAAATGTAGCACAAATAAAATAAACCCAGAGATAGATATTGGGGTTCAACCTGAAAACCAGAAAAGCAAGGCAGTCATTCTCTAGCTCTCTAGGGTAGGGCAATCCTATCTCAATCAATCCTCAGTGTGGCTGGAGACTGAATGCCCAAGACTGAATGCTTTGAGACTATCTTATATACCTCTCTAGTTCTGGGATTAAAGGTGTGAGCTGTGCTTCTCTTTTATATGGATTCACTCTCACGTAATCCTGGGTGGCCATGAACTCACACAGATCCATCTGCCTCTGTCTTCTGAGTCCTGGGATCAAAGGTGTGCGCTACCACTGCCCAGCTTCTATGGCCATGTTTAGCTTTACATTCTGAACTTCAGTGGCTTTATTAGATCATAAACAATATATCACCACAATTCCTCTTTTTGCACAATACATATATTGTACAATACATAATATATAAAAACATGTGCAATAAGTACAATGAGTATATACAATATATTCAGGCAATTAAAATTTTAGGATCAATGTGGAGATTGAGATTTATATCATGTGAAGGTTAATTTGTATTTGACGCTAAACTTGCATGTTTATATCCCTGCATTTGTTCAACTCAGAACCAAAACACACAGACCCCAAACCAGAGCATTACCAGAGGTGCTGTTCTCCTAAAGGATCCCATGACAGTGGTGGTGCTCAGTGCAACAGACCCATTTGAGTATGAGTCATCGGAACATGGAGTGAAGAACATGTTTCATGCTACAGTGGCTACTGTGGACCAGTATTTCCATGTGAAAGTTTTCAACATCAACCTGAAAGAAAAGTTCACAAAAGATAATTTCATCATAATCTCCAATTACTTGAAGTTCAAAGGAATCCTAGATATTAAAGAATCTTCCACTGTGATAGAAGCTGGTCCTGACCAAAAGATTGAAGTCCCCAATAAGGTTATCCGAAAGGCAAATCAATCTCCCAAGATTTCAGATATTCACAAGAATGTACCTGGAACACTGGTTTATGGGTTATTTATGTTACACAAGGTAATGATTGAAAATTTGTTTCTGTCTTTTTCTCCACCAACACCTGGAATCAAATATGATTACTTTCTAGTCACAGATTATTGACAATATTCTAACGCTGGACACCGCCTTGGCTAGCGGTAGAAGGTGAAGTCATTCCACACATTAGAGATTAAGATTGGGTGACCTTTTCCTGCTTCCTAAGATATCTCTGAAAGAGTTCTCTGAAAATGACTTACCAAGAAACTTTTGTTTTGCTTGTTACAAATCAATGAAAAAAAATGGTGCAGGACACAGGTCAGGGTTATGCCAACAGTCTGAATTTTTAAAGCTATACTAAAACTATATAACAGTCAATATTTTCTTTCTATACATTCTGTTTCTACAGATTCCCTGAACAAGGGTAAATATTGATTGTGGCATGGATGGGTGATATTCACACAAATTCAAAACCACTCCATAGAATTAATTAACTCTTTCTGTGGATAGTAGGTTGAACCATTCATTGTTGACTCTTATATCTTATTCAATCATCAATCAGCTAATTATTTCTGAAGAACTATTGTATGGAATGATCTTTGGAAGGCAAATAAATCTAGTTTTCTCATTTACAAATGAATATATACATACATACATACCCACATACACACACACACACACACACACACACATATATATATATATATATATAATTGATTGATCCATCAATCCACAAATTTGGGGTATTAAGATTTAGTTTTTTTTTAAATGACAAACTTGGAGAACTCAGAACTCAACAAATGTTTTATAAGTTTGACAGTTTTAGGGCTTTTTATTCATCTTCTTTTAAAGCCCCTGTATTTTTAATCCATATTTGTGAATAACTTATTGAATGAATGAACAGTGGTAGCAAATGTCTGTTCATCCCTTTATAAGCACAAGATACAAAGATGGTTACCTGAAGTTCTGATTCCTGAGATCAATCAGGGTGATATATGGAAAATCCAGACTGTTGAGGAATGTGGAGTAGTGGAGAACATTTATTTTCCCAACACTTCCAGGCACAAATCCTCTAGATAAAGAAAGTAAATCATTGCAGTAATAAAAGAAAATTATTTGGAAGATTTCACTGAAGATACCTGTATGATTGTGTTTGTACCAGGTTCCATATTTTCCTGTGATTTTTGTCATAAAAACTTTTATGAATGTATAACAACAATTGTGAATGTGATAACTTTCAGAAAACCAGTATTCATTTTACTTTCGCAGAAAAAGGTGAATCCAAAAAACACAATCTACGAAATAAAAGATGATACAGGAAATATAGAAGTTATAGGGAATGGAAAATGGTACAACATCAACTGTGAGGAAGGAGATAAACTTCGACTCTTCTGCTTTCAACTCAAAACAATTGACAAGCAGCCAAAATTGGTGTGTGGCGATCACAGTTTCATTAAGGTAGGAAGTACACAGGAAACAGGTTTACTAAAGAGGAAATTGGCTTTTTCTTTAGGATTCTAAACATGAACTTTTCAGTGTGTTAGACAGACAGTTCTGTCTCTGGAGGGGAGCATTGAGATGATGTACTCATTTCTATGGGGAAGATTTTAAAAATGGATATTGAAGAAATAATTCAAAGAATAGCATGTGTATGGTAAATAACAAGATATATGAAGAAGTTAAAATGACATGGAAATACATTTGATTAGTAATTAAGAACAAGGGTTTTGAATAAGTCAAATGCAATTTGAATGCCAGCTTCAACAATTAGGAGTTGGCTGGTATTGGGGAAAGTTTAACTCTTAACCTGGGCGTTAATGTATTAAATGCCTACATATTTATGAGTTATCTCAGTGTTTAGCACATCGTGGCAAATGAGTAGGTACTATTTTCTTAATTGAGTAAAGGCGCTAAAGAGAGAGATCTATGAGGTAGAAATGGCATGAAAATATACCAAAGTGTAGATTAACACTATTAATTCTACTACATATGGAAATATCGAACCTACTCAAATAAAGTCATGTTGAGTATGAAGAGCATTCTCTTCAAGGACCATATAGTCGGAAGGGATGACTCCAAATAAGGCAGAATAATGAAGAAGTTAAATCAGACAAGATCTCAGGTCATATAAGAACCTTGAGGGCAATAGACAAGAATGGATGACTGAACAAATATAAACAGTGCTTTAGCTCCATTGCTAGAATCTTATAGTATGTCTTACTTTCTTTTTCAAGGTCACCAAGGCTGCGAATAAAAAGAAAGTATCCACTGCCAACTTGAACCCAAAAAATGAAGAAGGAAGTGGCTACCCACAAGTCCAATTCAGTGTTTTTAACAGTGGAGCTTTTAAAATAGAGACACCAACCAATTGGAAATAAACAATAGCTTTTAGCATTACATTCAAGAATTTAATAGTTTTCATATCTGATTTGTGACTATGTATTTTCATTTAAAATGTCTTATTCTGTTTTTCTATGAAAATTACACTTGAATTAAATTTCTCTTGTGTAGACATAATAAAAATTTCTTTTTAATAGGGTACCATCATTCAGACTAAGCAGTCGTCCACAGTATGGGTAAAGATTTTTTACCAACTGCATTTCTAATAAATGGCTGATAGCCAAAATCAATAAAGAACTAAAAAAAACTAGATAATCAAGGAAACAAATACCCTATTTGAAAAATGGGATAAAGATCTAAACAGAGAATTCTCAAAAGAGGAAACTCAGAAGGCTGAGAAACTCTTAAAGAAATGTTCAACATCCTGAGCCATCAGGGTATTGCAAATCAAAACTATTTTGACATTTCATCTTAAGTCTGTCTGAATGGCTAAGATCAGTAAAACAAGTGAGAGCTCATTGCTGGTGGAATGCCAACTTCTGTCAGTCCTCTTTTAAACACTCTCAATGAAACTCACAATTTTTGCTGTTTTTGTCTGAGGAGCCTTTTCCAGACTCAAAAGCATAAGATGTTATCCTTGGTTCTCTTTAGAAAGTTTGTAGGCGATTTCTTTTTCTTTTAGACTATTATCTGTGTTTTTCCTTATTTTAAGATGTGAAATGGATTGTCTTTAATATGAATATGGAATTTGTCCCATTAAAATGATTTCTTGGAGAATATGCTTGAATAAACTCCTATCTCCACTTCCTTGCTTCTTATTTTTGTCCAAAAGCAGCTCTCTGAATTCTTTATTGTATCTGACCAGCAGTATTTTAAATGTAAAACTACACTGATTGTCTTTACAAAGTGCCAAAGTATTATAGTTTTCAATATGTATAGATATAAGCCAATATATACAAAGCAGACACTCCCCTATCTTACACACAGATAGACAACAGTTGCTAAAAATCATTTTCTGACATTGACAGGTACAGTAAACTACAATACATCAGCAATGGCATTTTAAATTTTGATCAGTTTCACCTTTTCCTACTCCCTCAGTTCTTTGAGAATCATAACCATCCCATACCCAGCCTATATTATTTAAAGAGTAATTTCTGTCTAATTAGCTTGTGTATATACTGTTGCTTATTGACATACACTAGAGCATATTCAGTCTACCAGAAGCCACACTCTAATCAAAATAGCTCTCTTTCTCTGCTAGGGGTAATATTTTTTTTTTGTTAATCTCTTTTCTCTTTGCTGTGCTTTTGTCTGCCTTAAATTACATGTCTTGTGTATGCTTTCACAAACACTGGGTGTTTATAAGTGTAAATTTCCTGTTATATATGTAAAACTGTTTTCTATACTCATCAATCCATCCATTTGTGCTCCTACACTCTTCTAGCCTCTAGGAGACATTTAGGTACATGTACTCACAGACAAGCACTAGGGAATCCAGGAATGTTAAACATGCAGTGTTGTCTCTTCAAAGGAAGAGGTGTATAAATTGTTTTCTGGGAATGGATATGGCTAATAGCCTGGTGACCTCTGTGCTACCTATGTGACCTGACGACACCAGCTTAGCCAGACTCATGCTTATCTCAATCTCGAGCACTCTCTTCCTTTAAATCTTTAAGAAGAGTGTTGTTTACATTGAGCCTGGTACCTTAGTAAATCTACAGAACCTATCTTTATGGAAAAATATTCCTCCAGAGATTTAACATAATCATGTCTTAACCTTTGTTGTGCCTACGGGATTAAGTCAATTATCACCAGGATATTTTCTCCAAATTGCACTCTGCTTAATATGCCTGAAATAAACTACCTGATATCAGGCTGTAAGTTTGAAACAACAGAGGCCATTGAGTCTTATTGAACTCAATCTTCTTACCTCTCCTGGATCAACACTCTACTGGTTGTGGTATCTGCAGATACCCCTCACACCATCCTGTTCTTCTAAAACGATCCCTGTCATGTGGGAAGAGAGTTGGCATTATAGATACTCCATTTAGGGCTGAGCATTTCATAGTCTCTTATTCTCTACATATTGACCATTGTGGATCTTTGTGTTAATTACCATAGCAATGATAAGTCATTTGTAGTCACTTTAGTACTATGTCACTTTAACAGAGTAATAAAAGTCTGATTTCCCCTCTGGTGTATAACTTGTCTAAACCCAGGTTCTTGTACCTGATAATAGGGTGAATTTTATCTTGTGATTTGAGCCTTAAATTCAAGAAGAAAGTGGTTGGTTATTCCATTGATATTTATGCCACTATTGTTCTTCTGGAAATACATTTCCAGGCTTGTCATGGCTGATGCTTTCAGGGTTCATATGTAAATAAAACTGATGTTTACTTTTCTCCTCTGATAGCATGCATACATATGTACCAGCTTTTAGCACTATGAATTCTAACAAGTACTAAATTACCATGTCAATCAGCGGTCTTTCATCAACACTGAGTAACTCACCCTTGCTATTTCTCGCATTATCTTTTATTTAGCCTTTCACAATATCCTACAGTTCAGTCTCTGAAGAGAGACTCAATAATTTGTTTTCCCACTCTTAACAAAACAGACTCAGATGCCTGCACTTATGAAGATTCCAAAGCTGTTCCAGGAAGGGAAGAACTCTGAAGGTTTCTGTGGAGCACAGCCCTAATGTCCACTGAGTAATCTTGAGGACTGGGAAACATACTCTAAACTTACATGCTACCTTCTACTGTATTTTTGCATTATATTCTGTATTATAATTAACAGCTCAAAATAGCATCTCATTTCATCTACCTAAAACAACAAAATGTCATCTACTCAAATGCATATATGCAGAATTACTTGGATTTTAATACTCTACTTTTCCAAAGGATGGCTGATGAGCTTGAGATTATTTTTTGCCTCATCATTGTAGCTGGATTTTCTGTCCTGTTAACCTGGTTCCATCTTGTTTTTTCAAATTCAGTAGTCACTTTCCTGTGTTTATACAGCATATGGTCAAACTGTCTAGGCAAGAGCAGTTTCTTGACCAAATGGCTATTTCTGCCATATCGAAGGCAAAATGTATAATGAGTTCCTTCAATGCCTATCTTCCTCTGTGACATAATTGGTGTTGCCAGGAGCAATTGTGTCTCACTATCATGAAAATCCCAGACCATTTTAAATATCATATTCTCTATGTCTTTGATAGGTTTGAAGAATATCTATCCATTTGAAATACATCTTCAAATATCTAGAAAATCTAACATAAGTTTTGACTATTATAGGTGACTACAATCTGTATTTAATTATACATTACATTTTTAAAAGAGCTGTAGAAGCACAATACCTAAAAAAGAGGAAAAATATACACATAACAAAATTGACATTAAATTTTTATCAATAAATGAAAATCCATACCAATGCAAAGTATTCATTTCTATATCATATCATGTTTTTTGCTCCCATCGTTGTTGTTTTGGTTTAGTTATTACTGCTGCTTTTCTGAGGAATAGAACATAGCTGTGCAGTGCAAAGAGGTGCACATAGCAACGAGTTCACCATTTGCTCAAGTCTATTATGCTTATTCATTGTGCATACTGCTCCAATAACATTTCTTTAACACATCATGCTTGCTTCTATTATGCTTTTCACAAACTGCATTTTCTTCTTCTTGGAAATCTTACAACTTCAGCAAACTATTCATTGCTCAGAGCATCCCTGTAAAGTTCTATTCATCAGGTAGTACTCCATTTTTATGTCATTTGTATAGTTTTTCATTACATCCACACTATGGGTTTCAAAAGAAGTAACCTACCCAATTATTATTTTATCAACTTTAGTGATTTGAATGGCCATTCAATCCCTTAGTATAGAAGGCAATGATCTCCTTTTTAAAAATGGAAGCAGTCTAGGATTATGGAATCCTAGCACAAGAGTGCAGTAGACAGTTTGTGATGGTTTTGTTACCCAACAATTCTACTTTTCTCCTCAATATATGTTTTAATTTAAATTAGAAACATGAATGCTTCACATGTGAATCCCAGCTCCCTCTCCCCCCCCCTCCTCCCTTGTCCCTCCACCCCACCCAGCCCCCCACATCATTCCCCAGGGAGGGTGAGGCCCTCCTTGGGGGGAGATCTCCAAAGTCTGTCATTTCATCCAGGGCAGGACTTAGGCCCTTCTCCATGTGTCCAGGCTGAGAGAGCATTCATCTATTTGGAATGGGCTCTGAAAGATCATTCATACACCATGGTAAACACTGATCTACTACCCAAGGCCCCGGTGATTTCTGTGGCTACAATGTTTCCATGGAGTAGTCAGGTGTAATTCTGATAGGTTTGCCTTTATATGTAACTTGGCCTTTTCCCCTAGCTGCTCTTAATATTCTTTCTTTATTTTGTATGTTTGGGGTCTTGATTATTATGTGTCACTGGGATTTTTTGGGGTCCACTCTATAAGATTTTGGCACCTTCATTGGACAGTCTTGTACAATACTGTGTAAGTGGAATATTGGATGTTAACATTGTAGCCCTATATGGAGAGTCTCCCAAGTGGACTAGATGCAATGATAAGCAAAGGAAGAAATGAGAAGATATAGTAGCAGCCATGATAAGAATTGATGCACTAACATTGTGAAGTATCTGAAGAATTTGTAACAAATTCTTATTAATTTTCTGTCAGTGGAGCAATGTTAGAAAATTGACACTTGAGTTTCATTTTTATGGTGTCATGAAAGCTGACACATGCATGGATCTGTCTTGATATTGTGTTACATTAAGCATATTTTTATGATATTTTTTAGAAATCATGTATTTAATTTGGGTTATATTCACCCCCTTCACCTTCCCAAATTCCTTCTGTATGCTCCATTCCATACGTATTCTGCTTTGTGTCCTCATACAGTTTTTAAAACATCCAATCAAAGTCAGGTGTTGGTGGCACATGCCTTTGATCCCAACATTCAGAAGGTGGATCTCTGTGAGTTTCAGGACAGCCTGGTCTATAGAGCGAGTTCCAGAACAACTCCTGAAGCAATACAGAGAAACCGTGTCTCAAAGATAAAACAAAAACAAAAAAATCTAATCAGTATAACCATAGATTTTTCCATGTTTGGCCATCCAATAGGGCATGGACAACTTATCAGGCATTACACTCTTAAAGAAAACTAATTCTCACTATTCTAGTTGCTATCAATTGCTAGTAACTCCTCATCTAGGGCTGGAATTATGAGTACCTCCCATCTCGATGATGGTATTTTGTCTGACTTGAACTTCCATAGGACTGGGCATGCTGGTACAGTCACTGTGAGTTCACCTGTGCAACTGTTCTGTTGTGTCAGGAAAACTCTGCACCACTATAGTGATCTACAACAGTCTCTCACAATCTCTCAGCTCCCTCTTTCAAAGATCCCTGAGTTTTGGGAGGAGGGTTTGAGATAGAGATGTGCCATTTAGAGCTGAGACTCTGCTTTCTCTTACCAAACACAGAAACACTCAATTCATAAAAGTAATACTATTTTTTTAGCAAGAGGATATTTTAAATTTTATTTTTATAATTTTTAATTATGTATATATGTAAGGGGTGTTATGAATTTAGGTGCCCACAGAGCAAGAATTATGGGTAGTTGTGAGCCACCTGAAGTAGGTGCTAGAAACCAAAATTTGGCTCCATTCCGCCATGACCCCTTATGAATTTCTTGACCTCTGTAGTTATTAGAAATGAAACAAACAAATCTGCAGTTTCAGTGCTGATATCTACAAATAAGATGCAACATGATTTAATCCTT